GCATTACTATTAATAAACCCTAAGCCATAACAAAGAGCTTAAAATGTGGCCTCGATAATATTTAAAATTTCAGGCTGTAACTGACAACGCCTAATTTTCTTTTCTTTACAATTTGATAACGACTGTTTTAATGTTTTAACAATTTATATGCAATTAAAATCATTGATCTTTTTTTTAAAGTTTTTATTTTACGCAAGGCTTTAAATCAAATCAAATCAAAAATTAATTATAATGATCCTTTAAAAATAAATGCATTATATGTAAACTAAATGTAAACTATATATATAAATATATATATATATATATATATATATATATTTTTTTTTTTTATTAGGTATATATATATTTTTTTTATTAGGTATGTTACTAAATGTAAACTATATATATATATATATATATATATATATATATATATATATATATATATATATATATATATATATATATATATATATATATATATATATATATATATATATATATATATATATATATATATATATATATATATGTATATATATATATATATTTTTTATTAGGTATGCATAATTTTATGATAAATTTAAATGTTTGAAACTATTTTTCCATGTTCTAAAAATCTTTTAAAGTATTATTTTTTTTAAGTTACTTTAAATGACGAATAAGTTTAATTAAATCTTCCCATGATTTAATTGCTTTATTTATTTATTTATTTTTTTGCTTAGAATTGTTTAAAAGTTTTATTTCTTAAACTTGACTTTCTAATTAAATCATGAAATGATTAAAAATTGCCATATTAAAAAAACAACGTTATTTTTTTAAACAATTTTTTTTGCTACTTTTTAAAAAAAAAAATGTTTAACATATTTTATAATTTATATTACAGTTATACAAATTAAAAATATTAAATTTTTTTCTTTTCAATAATAAATATATTTAGTCATTTATTAAACAATCAATTGAGGTAATTTCTAAAAGCGTTTTGCATAACTTATATAAAACGTTTTAAAAGATCGTAAAAGTAATTTTTTTCAAATGCAATTAAAAAACAAAAATAATTTTTACTTTGATTTTTTTTAGTTTTATTTTAAAACTTTTTTTTTTTTTTTTTTTGTAAGGAATTGTTTTGATTATTCTTTAGTTTTTTAATTTTTTTTACTAGTTTAAGTTTAAGTCAACATTTCTTTTTTCAGCGCATTTCTGAAACGTTTAAGTCATCAAAACATCTAAACAGTTATGGTCAATTTGAAAACAAAAAAAAAATTGTTTGTGTGGTCAGCAAAAGAGTTCTATCGCATGCCATTCCTGTCCAAACTTTATTTTGTAAAATTTAATTGCTGGCGGTCAAAATATCTGATTACTTTGTAAATAAAGCAGACAATCTGAGGTTTTAGCTGGACAATGCCAGATGTCGGACCGTTTAATTGAGCCCTGCTAGTCATAAAAACAGAGACACAAGCAAAACCCATGCAATGAGTTAAGAAGATCCAGCATTCAACATTCTAAACTGGAAACAATGCATTATAATAACATATGCGCCAGCCTAATAGATAAAGAAGGGGTGTGAAGTTGGTTAAGAGATAGCTTGATGTATTTAATGTTTGCTCAAGATGAGTATTTTTTATCAAGACACTATTTCTAGCCTTTTTTTGACAGAAAAGTAATAATCCATTATATATAATACAAAAATAAATGAAATTCAGGTTTTAAAAACTGTTGAAATTTATTTAAATTGTTTTTTATCGCAATGATCTAGATCTTCCTATATTGATAAATGGTAATTTACTCAATCAGTTATCTGCCCTTTGTCTTCTAGGATTGACTCTTACTTCCTATTTTTCTTGGAAACCATATATCCAAATGTTTCCTGTACCATCTACTAAAATTCATTCTCATGATACTCGTCATTCAAATATATTCTTTTACAGTGACTGTTCCAAGTGCTCCAAAAATTCTTATTCTACTAGTTTTTTTCCTCAAACATCAGTTTTTTGGAATTCGCTTCCTTTATCTTGTTTTACTGGTTTTTACAATTTTTAAATCTTTTAAGTCGTCTGTTAATTGTAATCTTGCTTTGTAAACTTTATCTTTTTTCTTCCAGTAACTTCCATTTTCTAATCGTGGTTGCTTGCAGGCTTGTTAGAAGTGAAGATGTTTTTAAAAAATATGTATATATATATATATATATATATATATATATATATATATATATATATATATATATATATATATATATATATATATATATATATATACATATATATATGTATATATATATATATATATATAAATCTGAATATAGACTTGATATAGATAGAAATTTGAATTAATAATTGCAATAAATTTATTAAAATAATCGAACATCATTAAAACATAATAAAAATCAAAACTATTAGTTTACCTTCCTCATCATTATCGTTAAAACATTTTTAAAAAGAAGATAAGGTTGTTTTTTTTATATTTAAACCAAAAAATAAAAAAAATTGAAACATAATGAATTCAATGATAGTTATGATGAAACATTAACAAGTAAAACAAATAATGATGAGTAAGAAAACCCATAAAAACTGTCTAAAGCATAACATAATATGATTAAAGTGTATAGTATCTAATTTTAATTTTGGAAACAACATACACCTCATTAATTCTTTAAAGTTTTTTTCAGAATGGTCAAAAGTTTGGCAACTTAATATAGCAAGCAAAAGGTCTTTCATCTACAATATGGAAACAGTTCTTTACCATTAAATTCATACTCAATGAGCATTGATACACCTATTCAATCTATAAATTCAACTCAAGATATTCTTGTTCTTCTTACTTTTAAAATCCTTCATCAGTAAAGATTTCAAGCTTCTGATCAAAGCCTATAAAGTTTATGTTTAACCTATCATAGAATCTTGTACCTCTGTTTGAAATCCCCATCTTTAAAATCCTTTTAAAAGATTAAAAGATATATCGGTTAGAAAAGGTCGTATTCCTTATATAGATTATTCTTCAAGACTCAATATCTTCAATCTAGAATCTCTTGAATGCTGTAGAATAAATTTTGATCTTGTAATGACCTATAAAATTATATACAACCTTGTCGATCTACCTTTTTCTGAGTTTTTTACATTTGCTCCTTCTTACTACCCTACAAGATGTCATGACCAAAAACTATTTTCTTTCATTAAATATAAAAATGGTACACAAAGATTTTTCTACTGTGGAAGAATTATCAAGATATGAAATTCTCTACCAGATTATATTGTTTACTGACCCACTTTGTCTTAGTTCAAATCAAATTTAAAAATGTACAATGTTCAGCACCATTGCATACTATTTTAACTTGTTTATTTGTTTGTTTGTTACATAATAGTAGTTTTGGTATTACCTGTATTATCTTTTTATATTTCTTATTTTTAAATGCAAATAAATTAGAAAATAAAAATAAGTAAAAATTAAAATGACCAATTACAAATTATAATACTAAAGCATAATGCTAAATGAAGTATAAACTAAAACAGAAGAATAAAATGAATAAAAACATGCAATGAATAAACATCTACAATAAATAAGTTACCTACATTAAATAAATACATGCAATGAATGAATACCTACCATAAGTAAACACCACAAATGAATTTACACCTGCATTGATTAAATACCAATAATAAATAAATACCTGCAATGAATAAATACCTGCAATGAATAAATACCTGAAGTGGATAAATACCTGCAATTAATAAATACTTTACTATAAAAGTATGATATATAACAAAGATTCAGAGTGTAACGTAACCAATTATAATTTATTATTTATCGTAATGGTCATAATAAAGTTTTCTTGTTTTAAAAATATTGAAATTTTAAATTAATAACATTCACAAAAAAAAAAAAAGTTACTTTTTCAATTTATTTTTATATAAACATAATAATGTAAAGTTACTTAATAAACATACTCAAATGCACTTACAATTTGATTGTATGACTTGCTAATCTTTTATTTGAAAATAATTTTTTTTAAGTACTTAGCTAAGAACGGGAGACTAAATTTCTTGTTTACTGAGAACCTTTCAAGTGATTTTGTTATTTTTTATATTGGTCAACAAAGAAGTATGTATTTATATATATCAAAATATCTACTATAGAGATCTCTAGTTGCTATTAGTTTTTTTAACTAAGTTGTTGTCAGCGATAGTTTAAATGAAGAAAATAAAGAAGATGTACACACCCTTTAGATCTATATGATATATATTATATGGGCTTTATTAAAAATTGGTATTTAATAATGTAAAGAAACTTTAATTTATCGAATTTATTATTATTATTTTTGTCCATTTATTTCACCATAAAATATGGAAATTTGCAATAATAAATTATAAACTTTCATAAATAAGGTTAGATATCACTTGTTTAGTTAAAAATTATTAAATGGAGTGACACCTAAAAAAAAAAAAAATTAAAACATTGAAAGAATTTAAATAAACAAAATAGAAAAGATAAACAAGGAAAACTAACATAAAAACATAAAAAAAATAAATAAAGCACTAATAGATAATGTTAATATTAATAATAGCTATAATAATAACAAAAATAATAATAATATGTATAATATAGTAATAATAATATTTTACAGTATAAAATAAAGGTGAGTAGTACAATTTAAAATTCCTCAACTCTTTAGCTTTTTTCAGCTAAGAATATCACAAATAAACAAAAAAAGACTTGTTATTTTTAAAAAACACACAATTTAAAAAATCTAGAATTTTTTTTACATGGGACAACTTTGGATGCTAAAACACTTTGGATTTCATAATTTATGCAACTTTATCCTATGAAAATTTCTGTTACTAAATTTGTTTATAATTAAGGAAAATTTCTGTTTAATTTGATAAATGGGTCATTTCTATGCTAATTTACTTTTGAGCTAATTTACTCTCTGATCTTTCCATTTCAAGTTTGAAAAGTCCTTGATAAAATTAATTTTGAAAATAAAATTTTTAATATACTAGTTAGTTATAAATCATACTTTTAATTAGGTAATAATTGGTAACTTAGAATTGATTTTATCAACTGACACCCGTAAAGATATGGAAGAATGGATTACTGCATTTAAAATGTGTGCTCAAAAAAATGTAAGAATTTTTTTCTTTATATTTACTCACTATGCATTTAACATTTAAAGTTTTTGTTTTGTTTTATATTATAAGTTTATATTATACTTATATTGTTCACTAAACATTTTTAAATTTTCATATTGTTTTTTAATTTTTCAGTTAAAGTAAATTTGTTGTTTACTAAACTTGTTCTGATGTATAATACTAAATTAGCTAAAGTAAAGTTGTGAAGACTAAGGGTGCATGGATGTCTACTTTTGACTGATGCTGATGGTGGCAGGCTGATATGCCAGTGTATCAGGTGATACATTGTCATTAGCCTCATGTTTAAGTTTAAAGTCTTAATATAAGATAGAGGTTCATTCTGGTCTTACAGTTGTTTTGTTCATTGTTTGTTTCTAACTATGTTATTTTCAAATTTCTAGTTATGCTATTTTCCAAAAGTATCTAGGAGAGGAACATATGGTAAAAAAATGACCATCCAATTTAAGATGGCATATGAAAACCTTTAAATACGAAAAAATTCAAAAATTATTCAGAATAAAGCAGGTCCAAAAAGCTTTACCAATAAATAAACACAAAAAAAAATCTATGTTCTTGGATCTCGTTGAATCAACCAATAAAGAAAATAACAGCAAAAAGTGTGGTAACAGTAATTTACTAGAGAACACATTTAATAAGCATAGGAAATGTGCATCAAATGAACCAAGAACATTTTTTTTATTATTCACATTATTTGCTTTTTTAAAGTTTAGTTGGATGACTCAAAAAATAAAGTTAAACTTTTAAAGTGGGTAGCCCCTTACAGAAATCTGTGTAAAAATTATGTATAATATATATATATATATATATATATATATATACATATATAAATAAATATATATAATAATAATAATAATAATAATTACAACAATAATAGCAATAATAAGAATAATCATATACTATTATTATTACTTACTCATTTAATATATATTATGTACACACTAATATATATTAAATGAGTAACATAATAATAGTATATCGTTTTTCTTCTTCTTCTTCTTCTTCTTCTTCTTCTACTTCTTCTTCTTCTTCTTCTTCTTATTATTATTATTATTATTATTATTATTATTATTATTATTATTTATTGTTGTTGTTGTTATTATTATTGTTATTTTTAAATATTTTTGTTGTTATTAGTTACATAATAATAAATTATAGTCTTTGTCAGATTGTTATAGTCATTATTATTAGTTTTTTAGTTAGTTTTTGTTTTTAAATTACTATTCCTACAATTTTCATTACTAATTATTACTACTATTGTTATTGTTAAATGACTTTTTTGTTAATAAATAGTTATTATTATTATTATTATTCTATATTAATTAAATATTAAAAAAGGTTTTATATAAATATCTTTACATTTGAAGTGTTCATTTTTCAACAAAGACTTAATTTAAAAATTTATTTTTACAAGTTATTATATTCAATTTATAAATTATATTAATAATTGATTTATCAGTTTTCAATTATTTATTTTAAGCATCCAAAATTCTGTGGTATAAAATTTAGTTGTAAAGATCATTAATGGTTAGAAAAAAGACCCACCTTTTACATCTGTGGAATTTTTAAAAAAAGGCATTGAATTTTAAAAACAGCTCAAAATATTTTTCATAATTGTTCTAGCATCATATTATACTTTATAGGAGAAGAAAATATTTTCATGGGATTTTTTTTTTCTTTTTCTTTTGCTGTTCTTGTTTTTCTTTATACATATTAATTATATTACAATATATTAATTATTATTTAATATTAATGTTGTTATAAAAATTTTTTTAATTAAAACATTTCTTATGAAGGAATAAAAATAAGTTTAATTTTTTTTATTCAAGTAAATTGTTTGAAAATGTTTTGATTATAATAAAATATTGTGCTTCTTTAAGCAAGCAATAGTTTTAAATACTTTTAATTCTTAAATACATACAAGCAAAAGAAATGCCTCATTTAAGGTTTTCCTGAAATATTGTCAAAGAACTTAAGTACAATATAAAGGTATTTGTTTGAAGAAGCATAAATTATGTTAAATTTTGTATAAATGTTTTTAAATAAAGTTTCAAAAACAAAGCTAGTTTAGTGATCTAGAATTTATTTTTATTTTCTTTTTTATTTGTGAACATTTCTTTATTTTTTTGGAATTTTGTTTCACTCACCAATAAATTGTTTTATTCTATTTATAAGTTAAAAAAAAAATTATTTAATGAGTTTTTTCAACATTATTGTAAAATATTTAAATAAAACAAGTCTTTTTTTATCAATAAAGTTATATTATTAAAATAAAATATTGAATTAAAAAAAATTATTAAAGATGTAAAAGATGTGAAAAATTAAAAAAAAAAAAAGTGAAAGGTTTGCTTAATGGTTTGCTTGCAGATGCTTTTATATAGAAAAATATATATTTATATATGTTTACATTCTCTTTTGTATTCATTTGCAAAAAGATTTTCTTTACATTCCATTCTCTATTTGTTCACATTAAACAATGCAGTGTTTCTTTTTTGATATTTGCATTTATAGAATTTTTGTCACTTATTTATTTATTTAATATATTTATTTTTACACATATCTTTCTGGAGAAAAAATAGTTAAACAGCCTTTTTAATTGATAGTTTTTGGTGTTTCATTGCTAATTATTAGAAGTAATTAATATTGACCAAAGTTAAAATAAATAAGCAGCAGATTGTTGTTTATTAACAACAAAAAAAAACCACAATTACATTTCAACAATTTTTGCTTTTATTCTTTATTGAAGAGAGTTTAGCAGATTGTTTTTGTGTCTGTTGTTTTAAACAATGAAACATTAAAAATAAAAAATAGTTTGTTTATTGTTTCCAGTTTTAAATATAGTTTATGTATATTTATATATATGGTTTCTAAGAAGAATGTCTGAATGTTTTTTTTTAAATGATGAATTTTTTTTATTGGAAAATATTTTCACACAAAAATTTTTCATCTTTTCTGCTGCAAATCTTTTTAAAAAGAAGAATTTTAATTTTTTTGTAATTATTTTTATCTCTTTTGTATATGCAATATTTATTTATGAAATTTTCATAAATATTACTGTTAAAAATAATTTTAAAAATATATTAGTCTTATAGATAAATGCACCTAAAATAATTTTTTTTAGCAACCTATTCACTAACCTTCTTCATTATTATTCTTAGCCTTAATATAAATGTTCTAAAATTATTTTACATGGCTTTTCTAATGACTCCCAATCCAATTTTAACCATGTATAATAGTTGTGATGAAGAAGATGATACTCAGGAAGAGAATTACTTAACAAACAAAAAACAACTAACTAATTCAACTATAATTAATGATACCATCAGCTATATTAAGGTAAATTTTACAGACAATTAATAATAACCAAAATCCTTTTTTTTGTGTGTAATTATTATTTTAAAGTTTATAGGTATGATAGGTTATTATTCTTAGTATATGAATATACTTATATTCATCTATATTGTTTAGTGGATTTATTTAGCTATATTTATTCATACTGTTAAGCAAAAAATACAATAAAAAATAATAAGGTATTATTTACATAAGGTAAGGTAATATAAATCTTTATGTATTTAATGGTTTGAATTCCTTGTTGAAAAAACTAAAGCTTAAATTAATTATTTAGTTTTATAAAACTATGCAGTTTTCACTGATAAATAGCTTTCTTAAGTAAAATCAAGTCATACTGATATATGGTATATGGTTTTTTTTACAAAGAAAAATTTTTAATTTAAGTCTTATAGCTTAAATTTGAAACTTATATATAAATATATAAATATAAATATAAATATAAATATAAATATAAATATATATATATATATATATATACATATATATATATATATATATATATATATATATATATATATATATATATATATATATATATATATATATATATATATATATATATATATATATATATATATATATATATATATATACACACACACTCTTGCATGGTCGTTTTAAAGTTTTTACCATAAAATGTCAGTTTTAGAATTTTTTTTTTTTTTTTAATTATTTTAAAGACCAGAAAGAAAAAAACCTTTTTTTTTATTATTTGATATTTTTTTATGATTTGCCCTAACCAAACCCTCAGTTGATGTAGCAGCACTCTGTTCCGAATCAGGCTATAAGAGAGTTGATGTAGCAGCACTCCCTTGTAGCAACAGGCTATAAGATAGTTGATATAGCAACACTCCACACATGTTTTAAAGTAAAAAAAATAAAAATAAACATTCAGAATGTTTTTATTTAAAAAAAATGAAATAAAAGCATTCAGAATGTTTTAAAAACATTGTAGTCTTTTAAATTTTGTTTTTGTGGTTTTTTAATCTCAATTAGTTTCCGCAATTAAATTAATGAGTTTTGTTATAATCTTTGCTTAACTTTGTCAGTTTAAATGCCTAAAACAAGCAAAGAGCTGTTTTTTACCGCAAACTGTATATCTAATATCTATCTATCTATATATATATATATATATATATATATATATATATATATATATATATATATATATATATATATATATATATATATATATATATATATATATATATATATATATATATATGTATATATATATATATATATATATATATATATATATATATATATATATATATATATATATATATATATATATATATATATATATATATATATATATATATATATATATATATATATATATATATATATATTAGCTTATCCTTTTTTTTTTTTTTTTTGACAACCAATTTTTATGCGGAGTGGCTAATGAGTGGTATTTATATGAAAAATTTTTTAATTTTTCTTTATAGAAGTATTCGCTCTGATTGTTTGAGTTACGCTTTTTAAGATTTTTGACTAAATTTAGGGCAATTTTCAAGCATTGGCGCGAATAGATTCTGATGTCAAATCCAGTTAATTCGTTCAGCAATGTTTTCTATATGTGTTCCTGTACCAAAAAAAAAACACTGTGCTTATTAATTTAAGAAATATGTTGTACCTATCATACACTGATAATGGTAGATAAATTAACTCTTTGGCTACTGTAAAGTGATTTTTTGTTGATTTTTTTGTTGATCATACAACAAACTTTATGATTTTTGCCTGATTTTGTTATTAAATAATATATGTCAAATAATGTGCTTTGCAAATTATTGCAATGGCTGAAGGCTGGAAACTAAAAAGGCCCTAAAATTTCATCCCTCTTGCCCCAAACATGAGAGCAACAAGTTGGTAAAATAAGTTTTTTGAAATTCTAAACTTTTTTTATATTCATTGCTAAATTTTAAGTTTCATAGTAATATCTCTCAGAGTTCATAAATTATAACCATATTAAGTTTAAACCCCCTCCATTTGAGGGGGTAACAAATTGTTAAACAATACTTAAAATTTATCAATGAATATAAATTTAGTTAAGAAAAGCAAAAAATTTATTTCATCAACTTGTTGCTTTCACGTTTGGGGCACGGGGGATAAAATTTTAGTTTTTTTTTTGTTCCCAGCCTCCATTCATTAAAACTTTTTAAAAAGCATGATTATTGACTTAAGTACAAACATAAAATGTTTGGAATTTACTCCATGTTAGCTATCTTAAACACCAAAAAATGCTGGATCCGTCACTGCCACAGATCTTTTGTTTCTGATGCAAATTTGCTTCAGAATTTAGCATTTAAACGCTGCGAATGTGCAATAAATATTTATATACATATACATTTTCAGCTCAAGACAAATATCTGAAGAAAATATTTAAACAAATAATTTATTATGTACTTTTAAGGTTCAGAGTTTGCAGTTAGATATGGGATCAAAATCAATTTATTAGAACCATTCAATAACGAGAAAGCTGTTGCCGTAGCTAGCTCTTTGAATCCACACGTCTTCTTTTTTTAATGGTTTTTTCAAGAACTCTTTATTTGAAGTAGCTTTTGAAGCTTCTCCAAGCTCATCACACGCTCTACATTATCTTTATTAAATTTTACTGTAAGCAATTTTTTATTACATAATATTTTTATTAAAACAAGAAATACGTTTCTTGTTTTAAGAAATAAATATCCAACCCTGCAATTTATTTTTAAAAATAAAAAATATATTTCTTGTTTTGAGAAATTAATTTTTTACACTATGCTTAATAGATTTACCGTTTTGCTATGAGTTCTGATGACTTGTTAGCAACTTTAAAAGTTTTTAAAAGTTTTGGAATTCATTGTACCCAAAAAGTCTGAGGGAGTCTCATCCGTAGGAAATTTATAAACTATGATTTGGAATATTAAAAATTACTCAGTAATCTGTAAACAAAAATCTATCAACAAAAACTGCATTCAGAAGGATTTCAGCTTTAATTCTATCCATTTTTACATCTTTTTGGACCTTCCTTTGTTTTTGAATACAGAAATTTTTTGACCATTTTTGTATTGTGATCTCGGTCAAAAGATGCTAACGCCAACACCAAGCACCTCTAAGGTTTTGCCATGATTTAAATTTCACCTCTGCAGCAGGCTCAATACACATCTGCCAATAGTCTTGTTGATCTTAAAAGTGTAACTTAAAAATAATGCAATTTAGATAAAATAAGATTTCAATTGATTTCATTTTTATTATATTTCTACTGATTTTTAGAAAAGTCTGTCATTAGAAAAAAAAATTGGTTTAGAGTTATTTTTTTGTATTTTACATCTTATTTTAAACCATTTTGCAAACCATATTTTTTAAGCAATTTGTTGCTTTATGACATAAATTACTCTTAAATAATAAGACTAAAATATCAAAATTTATGAAATTAAGTTTAACTTTTAAAAATGCAGAATCAGAAAAGTCGCAGGTCAAAAACAGCAATTCCCCGGAAATGGAAATTTAGTCAGCCATTCTATTAATCTCTTTTAGTATTTTATTACTCAGAATAAAAACCTGCCTGATTATAGAAAAATGCAACTTGAATTTCATAAAATTCAAGACGTGAGAAACAGGTCCATATTTGTTAATTTTCACCTAATGGTATGATTTTTTTCCGCAAGTTCACAATAATCTCTGCTCTTCTCAAAAGTCTATATGTAAATAATTTTAAAATTAAAAACTTATTCATTTTGTTATTGAAAAAAGATATTTTAATGTGAAGCAGTTTTATCATTACCTTACTGTTTTTTAACCTTTTATGGTTTGTTGATATAAATAATTTAATCCCCAGCTTAACAGTTTTATTTACAGCTATGGCTATATGGATCTCTTCGACATGACGGCAGGAGGTTAACATTAATAATGGTTGGCTAGGAAACTTAGCTAATCTTGTACAAACTCCTTATAAATAGCCAGGGCTTGAAGTGGGTGAACTGTATGAGATAAAAAGCATCTAACAAATTTCTAATTGCTGTGTATTGGGCCTCAATGCCAATGTGTTTAAAAACCACGTTTTTTTAATTTCATAACGAATTTGTGCATTTTTAAAATAGCACCAGTTAACAAAAATAATAGTATTAAAAATGCGCACAATCTGTATAGATAAAAAGCCTTCCATTACTTGTTATGACGTTATTATATAGTTAATGATTTGTAAATTTCTATTTGCGCTGATTGTTTGAAAATGCCCGTAAAAACTCATTAAAAGTGAAAATTTTAAACTTTAAAAGAGTGGCGTGAGAATAAATAGTCATCTAAAATAAAAAATAAAAAAATTTCATTAAGAAAACAATACCTTGGGAATATTTTGCGACACTCTGCGTATCAAAATTTGTTCATGAGGGTCAAAATGGGATGGGCTAATATATATATATATATATATATATATATATATATATATATATATATATATATATATATATATATATATATATATATATATATATATATATATATATATTAGGAATATTATATATATATATATATATATATATATATATATATATATATATATATATATATATATATATATATATATATATATATATATTAGGAATATAATATATATATATATATATATATATATATATATATATATATATATATATATATATATATATATATATATTAGGAATATAATATATATGTATATATATATATATTAGGAATATAATATATATATATATATATATATATATATATATATATATATATATATACATATACATATACATATACACGCATAAAACATTGTAAATGATATTATACTAAAGCAGCAATCTGTGGGGGCTTTAATACATATATACACTGAGGGTTTGAATTTAGGCAGGTAAAATCTATATAAAAAGGGCGTATGTTATTGCAAAGTTTTTCTTTTCTGTTTAGATTAAAGTAAAGTTTCTTTTATTTCAATGACACAAAAAGCAGACTTTCATTTAATTTATTTACATCTATGGTCAAAATAAATTATTGTTATGTATTTAATTAGCTTTCTGGTACCCTTTTTAATTTACTTTATTAAATTCAACTCCCTAAAGCTAAAGGGAGCCACTTCAGTCAAGAAAGTTTAAGTTGGTAACTCTCTGAACCCTGAAACACAAACATTGTTAAACAAGGCAGCTGTGTGGTGAAAAAAATTGAGTGTGGTACTTTCAAAGACATAGTTAAATTGGCTTTAAGAATGGCTATATCTTTTTTAATGATATTGTCAGAAATTATGCGGAAAAGTTATTAACATTTGTAATAACAACACTGATCACCATAGTTACCTAGTCATTTAAGATCTTCATATTAATAACAGTTCTAGCTGTTTTTGACACAATATTCTTGTGATCACGGGCTTAACCTTTATTAATTTTTTTTTTGTCTTTAAGCTCAGGAATTTAAAAGTTATCATTTAAGTATCCTCTAGTTCACAATCATCAAAAGTTGACTTGCTTTGAGATTAGAATTCTGAAAAAAAAAATTATTTTACTTTTTAATGTGGACCTCATAACTCTTTTTTGGTGCACATTTATTTTAAACTGCTATCTTTTTTTTCACTGGTTTTTTCTTGTTTTTTATCTAGTCTTGGATGAAGGATAAATCTTCCATCTTATCTGATGATATTTTATCTGTCATCATCTGTCTCTAAATTTCATATAATTGAAACATACTTCCGCTGAAGGCAAACATTTTGAATTTAAAAGTTTAATTTAAAAGATTATCTTTAGTAAAAAAGGAAGAAGAATGAATAACACAAAGATTTTATGCTATAATAGATCTCCTTCATACCTAGATGCCTGTCCAAAACAAAATCCTCAGTTGAGTTACTATACTCAGTTTAGTAGCCCCTGACTGCTTCTACTTCAGTATGACAACATCAGTGATGTTTCATGCATGTCTTTGGTTTTTAAAATGTATACTTTAATCCAAACACTTAAAGAAACAGCATTTTTTTTGTATGCGATGTTTTGTATGCTATGGTATTTTTAGGTATTTTATGGCTATTTTATTGATTTTTTATAGAGTGAGTTAACAGAAGTTCAAGGTAGAATGCACCGTTGGTATTCTTGCTCACATAATCGTCCAACATTTTGTAATGTTTGTAAACAGCTGCTGTATGGAGTGACTGCAAAAGGACTTTCTTGTGAAGGTATGTGTGTGTGTGTGTGTGTGTGTTTATCTATATAAACATATTAAAGGTAGCACTAAGGTTGGTGCTATTGGGCTTTATTCCCTCTGATATGCTTTTTCTTTTAACAAAAAAAAAAAAGGAAAAGTGAAATTAAGTTAAACAAATAACCAAAACCAAACAAATAACCAAAAAAAAACCAAAACTTAAGTAAATCAGTAACAATATATTAAAAATGTTATTAAAACTATTACCATATTAAAAAAATAAATTATAATAAATAATCTACTAATTAGACAGTTATAATTTAGAGTTAATAATCATTATTTTACACTACTTCTAAAAGTGGAGAAAAAAAAGTAAAGGGATGGTATTGATAATTTAAAAATACCATCCTGCTTTATGATTGTTATATATAGAAATTTATAAAAAGGTGGTGGGTTGGTTAATACTTAATAAAAAGATGATGGTATGGCATCCCACCCCACTTCAAGCATTATATTTATATATATATATATATATTTAGTTATAAAATTAAAATTCATGTGTGCATATGTTGTGGTTACCCTTTGTGAATAATTTAAGCCCAATTTTAGCTCTGAAGTCCAATGTTTAGGTTGCGTGATTTTTCATTTTAACCTCTAATAAAAGGCATTAATATTCCTTTCAAGAAAAATGGAGGAATATTTTACATCAACAATAGCAATATATATTGCAAAACAGTGCCAAGGCAGTATCCAAGAAGGTTCTAGGGGGTTTTAACTCCCCTGGATACTACTCTGAGTCAAGTCCATGAGGGAAAGGGAGCTCAGCCCCCCCCCCCCAAAAAAAAAAAAGTTTCATTAAACAGATATTGAAAGAAGCCTCTATCATGACTTTAGTATTTATCATAATTAAGTACTATATTATAATTTTTCAAATAAATCATATATTTAAAAATAAATTGATATTTATTTTACACAAAAGCAGCGAAAAGGCTGAAAAATGAGTTGGAATCTTCAAAAAGAAAATATATAACTTCTGAACATGCTGTTGCGAACTTTGGAACAATAAGCAATGATGATGAATTAATTCAGCGGAGGTAAATTTATCAGATTTTGATGTTTCACTCTCTTCTGCTATATACCAAACCAATGCAGCAATCAATGAGACTGGAAATAAAATTAAACAAAGTTTCATTAGAAAAGTAAAGGGATAACTTCTCTGCATTCATTTTGATTCTAAAATTGTAGCAGAGTATGCAGATGGGCAAACAAGAAATGTGGACAGAATGGTTGTGCTTGTCACATATCCTGATTTTGTGAGAGAACAGCTCATAGGGATAGTTCCAATGTCAGGTGGTTGTGGATTTACTCAACAGCAATTAAGGGATTTCTTGTGAATTGGGATCTTTGGAGTGATAATCTTAGCATATGTTTTGATACTACAGTTTCTATTGCAGGTGGGTATATTTATTTGAGATTAAAATTTAAAATGATTATAGTAAATTTTTAAATATGGGAACAACATTTTAAGTTTGGTTAAAGGGGGTTGCAGCCATATTGAAGAAAGGGATGGAAAAACCATTACTATGGTTTGAATGTCAACATCATGTCTACGAGCTCCACTTAAAGGTTGTTGAATTTTCTACACATTTTTTTTTTTAAATTACAAATTTTACTTTATAGTTTGATCTTTTATTTTGAATTTCTACTATTTCAGCATGTGGCGCAGACAGCATCTTGAAAAAAAATTGATGGGCTCAATGAACATCTGTTTAAAAGGTTTCAAAATTCTTGGGAAACTATCAAGCTCAAGATTGGTTTGCAGAATCTGAATATGTTTGACTGGAGTGCAAACAAGGGAACATTTTTCAGTGAAACAATTGTTATTGTTATTGTACATGATTTGCCTAGAATTCAACCAGATTTTCCAATATTGTTGTGTATGGGCACAAGTCATGAAATATCTTGAAGCTATACTGTTCACAAAGGAGTTTCCTTGTGGTGATTACAAACATTTAGCAGAGCTTGTGCTGGTCTGGTTAGAAGTGACAAGTGATAGAGGAATTCAGTTTTCATAAACCAATTGCAGCACACCATGCAAGATTTCTTGCTAAATGTTTATATTATATGACCATAGAACTGCTAGCCACCCAGATGGATGAAATTGTCTTTAGCTTGATTACTAAGAAGGATAGATCAATAGTCCACCAAGTTATAGAGTACCACTTAGTGACTAACTCACAAGTGGTGAGTTAGTCACAAAGTCTTGATTTGAGATTAATCAAGGACATGGCACTATATGTAGATTTCAATGAAACTCTTTCAAATGCAGCTATTAAGAGCTTAACTGAAAGAAATGTTGTCCTTGCACTAGCAGTTGATCAGTTCAATGAGAATGTGCGATATGGCATTGCCCAAGCTCTGGTGAAATGTCCCAGATCTGAAACATTTGAACTTGGAAAACCTGTCTTTCCTAAATTAAACATAAAGAATATTCCTAGTCTGTCCAGTTTGGTTAGATCTTAGAGTTTGGTTATTTTTCAACATCTAAACCTGAAGGAAACAGACTGGACTCTCAGGGACTAACACGATTTTTTAGAGTACAAATATCTACACATATATCAATGGGTTAACTGTCATCAATGACACAGTAGAAAGAGGAATTAAACTGATTTACGATTTCCCCCATCTCAGGCTTGGTCGGGAAGCGGGTGTGATTGCACTCGATAATTGACCACGGAAATTATATTTACTTGCGAAAAGCCGGCCAGATTTTTCAGGCGTTTTGAGAACATTTCAGTTTATGTATGTTTCCTTGTTTATTCGCAAAATAATAAGTTCATTTTATCGTAAATTTATAAGATTTTTTTTTACGGACGTACATGGAAACTTATATAAACTTGAATGTTGTCAAACGTCTTAGTGCGGAAAAATAAATAAAGAATATTCGCGAACACAAAAAACCCACCAAATTTACGAACAATTAATTCTATTAGTTCAATTAATAAATAACTGAAATTACTACGCGACTGTTCTAGAGTATTCTGTTGAATTATTTTTCAAAATCTTTTTTTTTTGTTTTTGTTATTTTTTCGTTGAGAATTCTAGCATCAATTGTTTTAAGAATATACTATCAAACGAACAATTATTTTAATACAATGGCTCATTCTCGGAGTCACATCCATAAAGCTATAAATGTTTTAAACTAACATTTGTTTACAAAAATAAATGTTTTAAATTTATATTTTTTAACTTGTCAACGTTTTGTAAATATATTATAGATTTAATTAGTATAATCTTATTTTTTATATATAAGAGATGTATTATATATATATATATATATACATATATATATATATGTATGTAATGTATTAGAAATTGGTTTATTAACTTCAATTATTTTTGCTTCAGCCATTCTTACAAACTCGTTATACTTACACTTAAAGTTTTTTTTTTCTGTAAAATACTAGTTAAAGATATAAAGCCCACTCACTAAACATCATCAGCGATATTGTTTAGCAGTTCCGCTGCCTCCTTACAAAGTAATTTAACGTTTTTAGTTAATTTCTATCTAGCTAATTAAATTTCCACAGTAACTTAATGATTTAGTTATTTCATTTGTTCATCTTACTAAGAAGAATTGTTTTAAATATGTTAAACTTTTCAAACTACGCGAAGCATAAAACAGGTACTGAAAAAACTTTTTTTATTTATAATTAAATTATGTAGCGTTAGTTTTATTGGTTAAATCTTGTTGGACTTTACAGGGCCGGGGGCTGCATTATTTTGGTGGCCTTTTTTATGTGCGACAGCGTAAAATGACTTAAAAATACCGATAGGTCCTCTTGACTATTTCTCGGCCCATAACATTGTGTGTCCCGGGACTATAGCTCTTCTACCCCCTCCCCCCACCTCTTATTTCCAGCACTGGAAATAAGACATAAGTATATAAATAAAAATTATATATAATCTTTGATAAATTGAAGAACATTTGTTTCTTTATTAAACAATCATTCTTAGTACGTTGTTACTATATACAAAAAATGTCGCTTTTTTTTAAAAAAAAAAATTATAAAAGAGCGACGTTTCAAAAATATTTTGAAACTCTAATAGTATTTATTTTGCTTAAAGTTTTGCGTTAAAAGCTATTTTTTTTTTTTTAACTGTCTCTCATCGGTCCAGTTTATCTTATTGCGCTTTTTTGCTTGTTTTTGAAATGTTCTCAAAACGCCTAAAAAATCTGGCCGGCTTTTCGCAACTAAATATAATTTCCGTGGTCAAATATCGAGTGCGATTGCACCCGCTTCCCGACCAAGCCTGCCATCTGTGTCAGAATGAGGCATTAAAAAAGAATCTGCTACTTAGTATGGCAGATCACAGAAAAAGGCACTCAAGAAACACGAAAGAAGAACTTTCAAATATCAGAAAATGTTAAATTAAATTTTTTTTTTTTTTAAATGTCAGTTTTTTGAAAAATTATATCATAGTAGTTAATTATTATAGATACTAAACTTATTATAGAGCTTCTTTCGATATTCTGTTTGATCTTTTTTTTTTGGAAGGGGACTGAGCCCTCCTTCTCCCTCACATGTTGGGGGGGGGGGGGCTAAACCCCATAGCACCCCTCCCCCTGGATACTGCCCTGGTACTGTTATGCAAGATATGTATATTGCTATTTTTGATGTAATTTGTTTCCCCATCTTTCTTAAAAGGATTAATAATGCCTTTTATTAGATGTTAAAAAACATGTAAGTTTATATTTTTTCTAGTTTATGATAAAATTCGACAAATCATTTGATAAATTACAAAAAATCTTACTTGATATTTACAATATAATACAAAATATTCTAAATTGTAAAAACATAATGTTATTACCACTTTTGACTGTCACTGGAATAAAAAAAAAAACATTATTTTTTAAAAATAAAATTTATATGACTATGGTAAAACATCTGTAAAAAAAAAGTAATCATATTCTCAAATCTTATATTCTCGTTTGTTGAAGAAGAGGCTAAGAAATTACCAAAGAAAAAAATTTAAAAAAATTTATAGGTTTTTATTCAATGTTATCAGCAATTTCAATGTTACCCAGAATAATTGTATACAAAAGTTTATTATTTTGCTGTTCCACACAGTGTGCTGTAAACATGGTTTATTCAGATTTTAATTTTTTTTTTTTTTGGATAGAAAATAGCACTTAAAATACCTTTCCTTAATCAGTTTACATTTTAATTAAAAAATAATTGCATCATTGTTCTCAGTTTTATTTACTCATCTATACCAATATTTACCCCTCAAAAAACATTTATATACATATATGTATATATTTAAATATATCTTTTTTGAATATATATATATATATATATATATATATATATATATATATATATATATATATAT